TTCGCATCGAATAAAAATTACCAGATTCAGCATTTAAGAAGTATATTTCTCAGATAGCCTTTCTGAAGATTTACTTTCTTTCGTTTTTGTTTCAACCGAAAAAAATATTTCAGTTTATTCAGCTGCAGTTTGTGCATGCATTAAAATCGAATCAAAAACTAGACTAGATGACGCTCCAGATCTGTGAATTTCACAGTAAGACATAATACCCAATTTTAAGACTAATATTGAAAAAATATGACAAAAAAATGTCATTCTTTTTTCACTTACTAAATATTTTCAGACCAATTAATAACATTTAGATGATAACATGTTTTCAAAATAATTGAACGTAATTAATTAAATAATTACAATTAATGAATTAATTAATTAATTCGAAATTGCTAAGGAAATTTATTCAATAAGCCTCGGGGTTCCGCCAAAAAAAGGTTGATCCCTTTCCAAAACAGAAAAAAATTACAGATGTGTACAATCATGTTGTAGTTGATTAATCCATAGCGTATGTGTTGATAAATTCGTTTTACATAGTCAACTCTGCAATGATCTTCTGTAGTTAAACTAGCCTTACTTAGTGGTCAATACAGTTATAAAAATTATTTTTAGTCCTGCTTATTATGCGTTTTCTAAAGATTCATACGCTAACATATAATAAGGATTTAATTCAATATAATAGCACTGATCTGTTTTATTTCGATAACCTCTCGAGATAAAACCGGGTACTACCAGAGGTACTACCTCGAGGAGGGTACTACCCGGTTTAGCCTCTTCCCCCTTTTGATGTGTGTCTATACTAGGCCCATTGAAGCTCAAGTGTTGCGAAGAAAGAAGATTACTTCATCCAAGGCGGAACAAAGGTTTTATGGGCCCTAGGACAAAATTTATTGCTGGCCACTTTCTTCGAGCACAAAAATCATAATTTCCATATTTTGTAACCCCCTAAACAGAATTGTAATTTTTAATTGGATAGAATTTCTCGGCAATTTTCTTTTAAAAAAAAGTAATTAGTAAACCTACATATTTTTTAAGTAATTCTGATCGAGCCATCAGCAAGCCAGAGCCCCGGAATAATTGCCTCTCTCACCCCCCAACAGGAGAACAGTCTCGACAAAATCACATAAAAATTGCATGAATTATATTCTTTAATTGCATTATAGTAAGAAAATGTTTGCTATTTTTTCACTGAAATTCTAATATTGCGAAATTTCCCTGAAATGCTAATATAGCAAAGTTAGCATGTGCACCAGTGGGGTAAGACCCGGTGATTTGACTTCTTCCAGAAAAAAAAAATCTTTTATAAAAAAAAAGAGGAATATTCTTTTCAAGAATAATATATTGTACACAATTAAACAATGAATATCTTGATTAAATCTGACATCTTCCGTGACGATGAGTTTAGTTAATCAGAGCCCAACAGAATTTCGAATCTTAACTACCCAGCCATTTCCCCTTCACTTCTTTTTATGAAGATAACACAAGTTTCAATAGTCTCTTGACCACCACAAGCATAATTTTTCGTAATTCTATCCCCAAAGAGTGGCGTAGTTTTGGGGAGGGTTTGGGGACAAAACCCCTCCGAAATTATATATATTACTTGATTAATTAACTATTGTACGGTAAGTAGTTGAATGTAATGTAAATATATTATCTCTTGCTACAAATATTTTACAAAAGTTTGTTATTGTCAAGTTCTATAAATAAACACATTTTTGCTTACGAAATGTTTAAAAATATTCTCAAGTTCGAAGAATACAATGAAAATTCNGTGCACATGTCACGGCTAAAGTAAATATATATATATTAATATATAGAGTTCGCATCCAGCCGAACGAAAACTCCTCGTGTAGTAAATGGTGACTGGTGCAGGTTAAATTTGCAGGGTAATAAAGTGCTCCATGTTCCCATAACAAATTATACCTCTGGTGTACTGAATTGGAGATGGATCGTTCTCTGGTTCAGGTCAAAATTACGATCAGTGGACGAATGGATGCATGAATGGGTTCGCCCTATAAACAGGTGTGACGTATTGTTGTGGCAGAAGTCGAATTCTTGGCCATAGATGGCACCACTGGAAAACAAGAACAATCGCTCCCCATCTGCTTTAATGGCCGACGACAATAACAACAACAACAGAAGGAGATAACCAATAACCCCCCTCGAGTATACATTGAAACTACGTCACTGCCCATAAATGCATTAATCGTCGATCGAAATTCCGATCTCTTTCCAATAATTGGAACGCTCACGTTTCAGCTACACTTCTGTTACTGATAATAATGTTTCAATAACACCCTGACTACTATTAGTAACATTTTTCGTCATTTTACAGCCAGATGTAATTTATCGTTAATGAAAATTACAACAATTTTCGGAATAACTCAAGAGCTTAAATTGAAACTGCACATCTGTTCTTGATAATATTAAATGATTTAATCGTCTCCTGTTAACTTCAAACAGAATTTATTGTTATTTTAACTTCGAACAGTTTATAGTCAGTTCAAATTCAGACCCATTATATATTCCGATTTGATGGCATTTGTAGTGGTTAATTTACATGGTGAAAAATATGTAATAAATTTTGGAAACTGCGTTTTTATGTAGGCTATAAAAGATATTAATTTCATATTTGTCACCTCTAAAATAAGAAAAAATGCTGAGAGCATCATTTTCGAAAAACTTCGCAGAAGTTTTAGGAGGAAAAAGAATTTTACACATACATTGTATCCATATATTAAAAATGAAATTAAAAATTTTCAATTATACCACTCGTAAATAAAACAAATACATTTTTTATCAGCTGTTTCTTCAATATATTTATGCTTTTCATATTTTAAGGTTATTTGCATTATCTTTACTTAGTGATCTATAAGTAACCTAATTAACCTATTACTTCATTTAATTAAAATGTATATAAGCACTTGTACCAACAGTTTAAGCTTTACTGATCTGTAACAATAATTTTATGTGCCGCTCTTATAACTACAGATTCATTATTGGGCTGGAATCCGTAAGTGTCGAGGGGCAATTTTAGCCCACAATATTAAAAATCTTCCGAACCTTTTTTATTAATATTTTAGATGGTCGGCAAATGGCAGTTCTAATCAATGCTCTTTCCAATAGTCTACAAACTATTTTTTCACTAAATCGTGTTTTTTTAACTAGTTATTAATGCATGGTGTTCTATAATCACCGCCCTGTATTATTAGAATTCTCTTTCGAAATGAAGTAAAACTTATAAGCGTTAGGAGTCTAGTAATAAGTTTCAATGAGTAGAAAACGTTATTAAAATCGAATTTGATCAATCATTACTGCTTATTAAGACTAGTTTAACATTCGAATGGAACTGAAAAGCGGAGAAAGGAATGTTAAACAAGATTATCAACCATTTTCATTCCGTTAAAAAAAAAAATTTTTGAACTTTTGATTTCGTCGTTACGGTGATTAGCCTCGATAATTATTACACTTTTTTCTTATTTTTTTTATAATTTGAGACCCTAAATGTGTATGTATATTTTTTCTGTCACTTTTTACCGTGATAGAAAAAATATTCATTAAATTTGCTGTTTACGGAACACTAGTTAACAGAGAAGAACGAGTTAACTTTATTTTCTATGAAAAATGGTGGTTAAACTACTTCAATTGATGTGCAATAAACTTGTCAATGAACTGTTTGCAAATTAGATTGCTTTTTCTTCCTCTTCGATTGCTTCTTCGAACTTTTTTTCTTTATTTTAGGTTCAAAGTTCCAAAGTCAAGCATGAAAATTCATTTTCTTTCCAAGATGCTGCGTAATCGTGACAAGTGTTTCAAATTGAGGAATTTTAACACGAGCTAAGAAGGACATCTTTTTATTTTGAAACATCATTACGTAATCTTCACCTTAGACAAGATAAATGCGACATTGATATCTCCCTACAGAAATAAGTTAAGTTTAATGAAAATGTATTAACTATGAATAATTTTTATAGCTCTAATCTTAAAAAAAAAGAATGCAAATGGACAAAAAAATGGTTACAAAAAGGAATGAAAATTTACTTTATACTAAAAATTTGACAACCAAAAAGTTTAGTTTTTAATGATTTTAAGACAGTAAGTTTACAAGTCACGTTTTCAAATTAACTAAGAGAGTGGTTAACGTGGAACGCAATGCGATTTAAATATAAGCAATATGATTTTCTATTATCAACTGGAAATTTGTATATTACCAACCTGGAAACAGTACTAAAAAGCAATTTGATATAAAAATGTTGATTTAAAAAAAATGTGACTTGCAACTACACAAATTTGTAAAGAAAACTTTATAAACATTTCAAGCAAACAATTTCTTTACACTCTTACGAAAAGAGTAAATTAATTTTTGACCATTGCCCAATTCCCAGCAAAAACAATTTAATAGACACGAAATTAAAGTTTATAAAAAAAATTAAAAAAAAAAACAAAAAGAAAATTTTATAAAGTGCGTTTTTTTAAATATAGCGAACATTTGAAGAGAACTTTGAGAGTAAAGAAGGGAACATTTTAATTTTACCAGGCATAAAACTGAAAACGTAAAAAACACGTCATTTTCTTAATCCCATTTTGATCTAGCGTGCCACGTGAATTGTGAAAATTATATGAGAATTCTTCTGATTTGAAAAAGTACTGTTTCCGCATCAAGCAAATATTTTTAATTCTTTCCAAAAACCAAGTAGTAGCTAACAGAAGAAAATATTCACTTAGTTAAAAAATTAACCACCCTTTTAGTAGGAGCTTTTTTTGCGTCACGGCATAGAAAAAAATTCAGGCTTAAATGGGTTAACTTATATCACCAACAGAAAATTAACCCCTGTGTCTATCAAAAGTGATGCACCATACGATTTTGGTTTTTTAAGATACCAAAATAAAATTATATTTTCCTTTCTTTCTACTTAAAAAGCGGATTTTTCTAAAATTTTATACTTATTATCTAGTTTTTAATTCTTGCTATTCGGTAAGGTAATGATCTCAAATTAATATTATATAATGGATTCAAAATTTGCACGTTCATCTTCAAAAAAAAAACAGCAAACACTGAAAGGGTATTGACTCTCGTATCTCTTGGTATTCATATTATGTTTCGTAATCTTTATGGCATAACTAAAGTTGCCCATCTTCGATGTCATGAAACTGCTCTAACCAGTACATGCTTCTTTTTTATTTTATTACTTTAACCCGAGTGGCGGAAACATCAAGGGTCAAGTGCATGTGATTAAATTCAAAACACCAGCTTCCGTGAAAAGAAATAAAAAGGAACCCTAAATAAAAAACTCAAAATACGGGGAGAAAACACCACAAATAAAGTAAGCGCTATGTGGGTGTGTGTAGTTGTTAAAAGAAAAGCTTAAAATCCTGAGAGCAATCAGATTTCGAGATATAATTTTACGGTTCGATTAAAGAATAGGATTTAGTTTGTAATTGGAGACTTAGATTTGAGGCGAGTTTGGAGTTCCCACTGGCTAGTCTTGTCCATTTCGTTTAAAATTATTTTTATTTTCTTTTATCACATTCGATAAAGTCCTGGAGTGTCCAGTTTCTTCAGTTTACCAGTAACAGCTAAACTTCCTCGCAGTAATTATATCCAGAAGTAAGTTTGTTATTTTTTTATTAAACTATTTAATTGCTATAGTTTTACGTAATTAGTGTACATGTCACGGTTAATGCAATAAATATGGCCATATTTATAAAGACCGGTTATTATTAATAATGACCAAGCTTTTAATTAAATATGATGAATTATGCACTTTAATCACATTTATCGGTTACTATTAATTATTGCCAACGAAGTTTGATCAATTGATTAATTAATTGCTTAATGACTATTCAATTGCTATAGTTTTACGTAACTAGTGCACATGTCACGGCTAAAGTAATAAATCTGGCCATATTAATAAAATAAAAACAGGTGACTATTAATAATAAATAACCACGGATTTTGGTAAATGTGAAAAATTAAGCACATTAATCATACTCATCGGCTATTATTATTAATTATTGCCTATGAAGTTTGTTCAGTGCGATTAATTAGGCATAATTTATGAATGTGACTATGATATATATATATATATATATATATATTTATATATATATTAATAAACATTATTATATAATAATTACCAATAATATTTATTGATTATAACTGGTAAATGTGATAAATTATGATAAATTATTCACTTTTATCGATTCGCCGATTATTAGTAATAATCGGCGATTATTTATATTTACCAATTAAGTACATTGACCGTAACATATATTCGTAATCATTTATGAAATTTGTTATTTGAGGGATAAAATGAAACTGCATTGCAAAATAATTCAGGCATTGATATTTGTATTATCTTAATTTAGTTACCTTATTTGATGTATGGTATAAAAAGGCATAGTAAAATAAAAATTACTATTTTTTATCATATTGTAAATAATTTCATATCCATATTTTTAATATGAAAAACTTTAACCCGAAAAAATTTATATTTTTAATATAAAACTACTCTGTCTTATTATTTCTCTCGGTAGGTTTTCTTTATGTTTTGTTGCTTTTTATTTGATGTTCCGTAAATTTTGGTACACTACAAAAAAAATTATTTGTAATAATTTTATTTTCTTATAATAGGAATAAAATGGTACGTCACGATTAAAATATCCAAATATATTTGCATCATGATGTAAAGAATTTTACATTTACTTCTGGATTCAATGTGGACGATTTCATCTCAAACTAAACCATGATCATCGAAATAAATTATTCCTTATAATTTAAAGTGATATGATGAAACTATTATAAAACTAATATTAAACTTAAAAAGCTAAGTTAATGAATCAATAAATGTTAAATAACTATGAAAGTTTTGTACAGAATAATCATTTAAACGCATAAAATAATGAAAATGACATAAATTGAATTTTTAATTTGTAAAAAGAAATTTAATTGTTTTTAAGAAAAATCTCAATATTTTTGTAAACATTCGTTTAAGGCATAAAAAAGGAACTCATTATAGTTAACATGCTCCTAACTTAATCAACTTAAACTAATAAAATGGATGTGGATATGATATGGAAAATAAAATATATGAAAACAAAATATATGGTAAATAAAACAAATGTTTGCATTTAGATTTAATTCCTTGTTCAAACCTGTATTAAATATTATGTTTGTAACATATATTTAATATCTTCCTTTTATCATGAATAAAAAAAACATCCTAACTGTATAAATTGGAATTATAAAAGTATACAAAACATTTAAATATAAAGTTTTCCTTACTGATATACTATCCTAAAGTTTTCCTTACTATAACAAACACTTTACTAAACATGGAACCATATTTGATTTTTATTTACATCATTTCAATCAATCCACAAAATCGTTTGCCATTTAAAGTTAGAATCAAAACTTCTTTTTTGTTTTTGATGCATGTCAGCATATGGAAGAGAATGAATACCGATTCTTCTAAAGTAAACAATTTTTCCCCACATATAAGAATTCTAAGCAGAAATGCAATAGAACAAAATGCTTTTTTCCACTGACGTAAGTTAAAAATGCTACCTTACAATTTCCTTTCATTTTATTAGAATTATGTTTTTATTAAATCATCAATTCAAATTTTATTATTATTATTATTATTATTATTATTATTATAGTATACTGTTATGATGCTAGTTATTAAATGATCAAAAACATTTACAAATAAGCATTTCAGGAACTAATTTCATAATTATAATCCTCAACTTTACTTTTTTGAATAAGAAATTACGTACAGTAAATTGTAAACTTTCATTTTTAAACAGCATTTTGTTTAGGATAAACAGCAAACTTTAATTTTTGAATAATAAATCATCTGACTCTGTTTACTGTAAATATTTAATTTTAAATATGAAATTATGTTTTAAAAAATTGAAAACTTTTATTTTTGAATAAGGCATTGTACAGGGTTAGTTGTAAATGTAAACAATTATATTTGGTTATTATTATATTACATACGATAATGCGGATAATACCTTAAAGGCACCGGACTTTTTTGAAAATACATATGTGTACTGAATTCTACGCGTTTAAAATGTAACTAAATAGTTAATATTATGAATAGCATTTTTTTCATGACAATTCAAAATATTATATTTTTATCGCCGATTATTTTAATATTAAAAATGTTTTAATAAAGTACTACTTTGCACGCCATTCATATTGTTATACATTTTCATGATAAATTGTTGCACCTATCAATTATTCACTGTCGACTAAACCGGATTTTTCAGACTTGGAAAGAAACACTTTTTGTGAAAACATTATTTTTTTAATTTAATATACTACATTCATAACTTATCCTTTACTGGCAAAAAATCGAAACGATCTGAAAAACAATAAAAATCTATCTGTTTTATGTAAATTGTTAAACAAAGGCATTATAGTACCTTTTATAAACACAAAAATATGAACTTTTCTATATTTTAAAAGGATCATATGTGTACGCTGAAAATCTATTGGCATTGTATTTAAATTTATATGCTGTTATCATTTATTATTCCAATTACTATCATTGCCAAAGTCAAAGTTTAAATGACATCTAGATAGAACGATTTTTCATTTTTAGTTCATTTATGCAAGTCATGGTAATTTAAATCATTATTTATTTTAGATATGATAATTTCCCATTTTTTTCCAAAAGTTTTATAAGGGTTACCCAAATAGAAAGCGGACACGTGTAATAGCGTTAGAATTGCAGTAGTGATAGCAAGGCCAATGTACAAGGCTATAAAGGAAGATTAAAGGATTTCCTCGCACTCCGTAAAAGTCATTAAAAGTTCACATGAGAGCATTTAAAGTAAGTGTAAATTTGAGTTAAAAAAAGAGGCATCATCAAGAACAGGATAATCCGAAGTATAATGGTTTTCAGTAGCAATAAGATATTGTACTTTAACTCATGTACACATTCCTTTACTCATGTGAGGCTAAGTCTACACAAATGTCACGAGCCATTAAATCTTCAACCGACTCTAATCATTTGATTGATGGCAGTGATGGATTTTTGGAATATTATGGCGCTTGCTTGCCTAAGGACTTGACACATTCCGATATTTCTAAACACCTTTCGCTAAGACTTTGCTATTTTTTCACAGTTCATTGCTTCAAACATTGATAGCCATCAAAATTAAATATTCAATGATAAATGTTCACTTTACGCTCACTGTTTGCCAATAAAAATAGCACAACAGCGCATTGTTCCGTTCCGGATATGTTCATCTTGAAATGGCTTAGCATTCAGTTTCATGCAGTCTAAATAATCAGTTATATACAACCTGTGGTGCACTTACCTAATTTTGATTTTTTTTACCATGCAAGGTGGCGCTGGTATCACCACGGTGGACACAGCAATCAGACGTGTCCACTTTTCATATGGGCAAGCCTTATATTTATTTTATCATATCTAGAAAATTTTAAAAAATACTGAAAAAATATCTAACCTGGTCAGTATATTTTTAAATTCAAATTTTCATTCCAGAGTTTTAAATCCATGGCACAACAAAGAAAATATGTTCTTAAAGTGGTACTTTGTCTATTTATTTGTTTGATCAGTAGTCATGGACACCATTTACATAGCAGCTCTCATCTTCAAGAAACTCCACAAAATTTTACTGGGTAAGCTACTGCTTGTTTTTTACATGCAACAATAAAATTTTGCAACGCAATCAAATTCAAGTAGAAATTTCCCGTAACAGCTATGTCGTCAAACAAAGTGGTCATGGGGATACAATTACAATATAACTATACAATTTCGTGACCTACGGCATGATTGAGGCAATGTGGTCGCCTTTACTTTCCAAACAATCTGGTATCCATTGATTTGAAGCTGAATGTTCATCAAGTCTCCAAGTACCATTGAACCCCAGCCCTTCATAATAACAGCTTAATCCCTTAACAGTGCTATCGGATCGGAGCTTAACAGTACAATAGGAAAATACATTCATAACGGAGTTATAAATGTTTTTTCTGATTGTAACTTTTTACCGCTCACCTGACTAAATTAACTCAATGAACCAGAATTTTCATTAAACATGTTTGTCTCATTTTTTTCATGTCAAGATCCGTAAAAACCATTGAAATTAAAGCATTTCATTGTATCGCCCTAAACCTTTAACATATTAAGAACAATGAGAAAATTAATAGACCGTTTATGACTTATGGTTTGTCATGAAGTAACACTGCATTATATTATTTAATTTGAAAACGCTATTGTTTCAACTAATTTTAAATTTTCTCTCTTTTTATTTTCATTTACAAGTGTTACTTAGCATTTTTTTTTTCCAGAATATATTACAAAGATACCTAGATTTTTAATTAGCACGTCTGTTTATGACAAAAGGTTTTAGTATGATCTTAAAGATAGTGGTTTTTTGTTTCTTAATTTTCGATATTTGAAATATATTAACAGTTCATTTGCATTTATTTAAACAATTTTTTTAAAAAAATCCCATTAATCTTTTTTTCCTATTTTCAGCCATAAGTTGTACGGATTATTTGCAAGTGATGAAGACGAACTAAAATTTTTAAAAGAACTTCAGTATTCCGGAGAAGTAAGTAATTAGAACTTTTTTTATTTAGTTTATATTTCAGCACTAAGTTAATAGAATATTTCATGAAAGAATTATTAAATAACATCATATGTACGTTTTATCTAAAATGTCCCTTGTTTAGTTCATATATGTTTTTTTAAAAACCGGAAGATAGCTTATGTTATAGATTGCTTAAATTAAGACAGAGAATTTTTTAGTCAGTACCAGTCGAAAAGTTTTGAGTTGTAAGGTTAAAAAATCTTTACATCATTTAAAACCATGTTAATTTAAGTGACAAAACAAAAATTTTGAGTTAAATTGATTGAATAGTCCTTGAGAGAAAAAAAAAACTTTTTTTTCAATTTTATGACTTGACCGATTTCAGACAAATTGAGTTTAGTCATTTAAAATGATGTAAAAATTTATATGTTTGTAACTCAAAATGTTTTCGATAATTATTAAATAAAATTATAAAAATAGTAATAATTATTAAAAATAGTGAGCTTGATGGGCTTTAATCTTCAAAAATAAAACTGAGCACAAGTCTGAAACGTGAGTGAATTTGTTGCAATCTATATTTTATTTTTGGGTTCTTCACACCTCAGGTCCAAAAATACAAGTTTGAACATGTTCAAATCATCTGTTCAACGTTATAAAATACGGACAACTACGATAAAGATTAGATTAAGATGTCTTTTAAAGCGTAGTAAATCTTACTCTTAAAACGAGTAGTTGAGCGTTGCAGCTTCTTTTAGAAAATGAACTAAAAGTGTTCCATCTTCCAAAGAAGCGCCTTCGGTTTAGTTAACGAATAGCGAGAATCTACAATCATGGCGCTTTTGAACTCACTAGGCCATATTCCTATGGTAGCACCTTATCGTTTAAACAAGTAAACGCTCAAATCAAATCAACGCTCAAAAGTGGTAGCTGTTCAGTAAGCTGTTTAAAGCAATTTTGGATAAAATTTACTATTTATATCATAACCTTTTATTATTATTATTATTATTGATTATAGTTTTAAATTTAGGTAGATGTTTGGAACGAACCGATTGCTGTATATGAAAAAGTCAATGTCCACGTTCCTCCATCGTTGTCCAAAGAATTGGAAAGCAAATGGAGATCTGAGGGCATAGATTTTTACTTAGTTTCGGACAATTTGCAAAAGTAAGTTCTAAGTTATTGTCATTATTAATTCATATTCAGATTTATTTTGATATTTGTTTTATAAGGAGACGACTCATTATTATGGCGACCGGCCTGTGTAGGGGGCAGGGAACTGACCTTGCATCAGAAGGGTCCTGGGTTCGAATCCCGGGCAAGGCATGGATGTTTTTTTTTCTCTCTCTGTGTGTTCTATGTGCTTTCTCCTATGTGTGTGTGAATGTGACCCGCTCTATAAACGGGATTGTGGTTGAGTGAATGGTGGGGCAAAAGTCGAATTCTTGGCCATAGATGGCGCCACTGAAAAACAAGAACAATCGCACCCCTTCTGCCTAAACAGGCGTAGGACGAGAAAAAAAAAAGGGGGGGGGGGAAGGAGATTTATTTATTTACATTTCGTAAGATTTAAGTTATATTTGCTTCATAAGATATTTATTTATTAATATTTATTTCAATCAAATTCTGTTAACCAAATAAAATAAAGTGAATAGTTTAAAATCAGAAATACTTTTTAAGAAATTGTTCGCTCCGAATTATTGAGACATGAGTTTATAGATTTAAAAAAAAAATTAATAATCGAATTTTAATAGGAAAAAAATATTTTAAATAAAAATCTATTTTTATTGTGGACTTTTTATTAATGTCTATCTATCTGGAATTTAATTATTGAAGTAATAAAATTAAAACAAAATTGTGTATTTTATTGTTACTATTGATTTTTAGGGAGAACTTTAATATGAATATCGATTCTTATTTTTAATTTTAATACGGATATTTTAAAAAAACGGATGAGTTTGCTTGTCACAAATAATATGGCAAAAGCACAGTTTAGCTGTAGCCTGAAAAAACTAAGTCTGCTCCAATTAGCACTTTCTCATACTTCTAATATTAAGTTTCTAAAATTCGGAATTTGAATTAGAAAAATTCAGGCCTATTTCAGGTAATTTTGGGTAAATTGTTTAGATTTCTTCATGGAGCAATCTGTCGAAATTTAATGCGATGGGGCAACTTATTTTTAAAGTATAGATTTTTTCAACTGCGTGTAAATTAAGCATGTTTCGAAAAAATCATTTGGTATATTTTGTAAAAATCAATTGGTATATTTTTTGATAATCAATTCGTATATTTTGTAAAGTTAAATAATCGGTATATTCCGTAAATTTTGTAAAAATCGATAGTTATATTTTGCGTATTGGTATATATTGTAAAAATCGATTAGTATTTTGTAAAAGTGAATTGGTATGTTTTGAAAAAATCAATTGGTATATTTTGTAAAAAATCAATAATTGGTATATCTTTTAGGTGGATAGATGAGGAAAGGGAAGCCAATCCTGTTGACGATGAAATAACAGGGCGACAAGAAGATTTTCAACTGGATATCTATCATACATTTGATTCGGTAAAAACAGTACAAATAATCCATTAAATAGAACCATTTTTATGTATTGAAACAAAATTGTATTCAGTATTAATATCTTCACAACTTAAAACTTGTATTTGGTGAAAAAAATTCACAATTTCTGTATAAGTTTTTTTTTTTTTTTTTTTTAATTGAAAGAATTTAATCTTTTATCATCCATCCTCAACCAATGCTTTAAACATGCATTACCACTAAAGCTATTAATATGCATATTACCAAACTAATATTTAACACTTTAATGTTTCATCCTAGTTAATCAGCAAATCAGCTGGATAACCTATAAATAACCAATTTTTACACTTAAGTGGTAGCATGTTACCTGTAAAAAATTTTGAATCAAATTACGGTAAAAAGTAACCGCACCCTGAGTTCCGGTACTTTTTACCGTAAAATCCATTTTTGCCTGAATATATAACAGAGCAAAAAATCTGTAATATCTTAATTTTTACAGTAAGAATTACTGTAATGTCACTGAATCAGTCTAATTAAATAAATATTACTGAAAAAATTATGGTAAATGGTAAAATGGTCTTAAGGTAAAATTGATTTTACGGATGATATGCACCCAAAGTGATGATACTTTATACCATAATTTCATCTGGAATTTTTTATAATGTCCATAAGACCTACTGACTATGAAGTTGTTATGTGTTAGTAAAGCAACGTAATTTTCAAAAAAAAAAAAATCAAAATATACTTATTATTTTACAACCACTTTGAGAGGACTCTCCTAAAGACCGTACAAGTTATCTTAGAAATGTATTATCTTTATTTTTATTTTTAATTAGTATCTTTATTTTCAAAGAAAACAGGCTGAGCTACTAGATTAAATAAAAAGGTTATGTAAAAAAAATATTGAATTTATGAATAGAATTTATTTTTTACAAAATAATAGTATTCTTAATAAAAAATAATTAAAATTAAATTATGATAAAACAATTTATTATAAATCATTTTACTAATAAACCGTTATGAAGAATAAAAGTTTGTCGGAAAACCCATAGATTATGTCCAAGATAGCCTTGGACATAATCTATGGGTTTATAAATGGGGAAAAATAGTGTAAATAGAGAAATATAAAAAAATGAATAAAAATGTAAAATAAAATTAAAATATTTACAAACAGTAAAAATAAAAGATTCAGAAAGATATCAGAAAGATATCAGTTTTAAAATAAAAGATTCGTCTTAAGTGTAAGGGTGATAACTGATTTTCCCTTGGCGAAAGAGCATCAAAATACTTCGGCAAAACAGGCACAAAAAAAAAATGCAACTCCAAACTTATTTTTAAAGTGACAAAAACTGTAGCAATGTGTTTTAAAATAACGAAAATTGTAACAACGTATTTTAAAACAATGTTTGCTAATGAAATTTAATTATGTTCAGCCTTTGCATTATCATCCTATTATATTTACCCTGCCTCTGTGTTTATCGAATTGAAACTGGCGGTTTCTTTACTTTTTACATACGTCCATATAGTCATATCTAAGGATAATTTTAATATTATGATTGCATTTTCTTGCTTTAAAAATAAATAATTTGATTGTTGATTTATTTTAGATAAGTGCATATATCGATACAACAGCTACTCGTTATGCAAAGATAGCTTCTGCAAAGTCCATTGGAACGACATTCGAAGGAAATCCAATAAAGGGTTTGAGGGTACTATCTTCCTTCTTTTTTGAGTTTGTTGCATGAATGATTCTTTTAAAATTGTATTATTTCTTTACTTAAAAGTAATATATAAGTCTTTCTTTGATAGGGGTATAATATATTTACATGAATTTAATTTCCTTCAACGTATGACTCACAGTACTTTTTACTATGTTTAATAGTTTGAAAATGATAATATAAATATAAACAACATTTTCTTTCTGAAATAAAAAGGCATTACAAGGAGACAATGATAATCTGCATTTAGATTGTCTCTATGTTTTTTTTTAATTACAAGCAATTATAGAAATGAAATTATCACCTCAAAGTTTTTATGATGATAAATTGTAGGAGTCCTTCCTTTCAAATACCATACCATTCCTTTCAAATTCCATTCCTTTCAAATTTTAAATCTAAACAAGAAACAGTGACTTTAGAATTTTATTCTAAATTTGAGATGTTATTAAAAAAATTTAATTAGCGCCGTTTTGATAAAGCAGTGCGGTCTATAATAAGGGCCCTTATAATATATTTTTAGAATCCTTGTCAAAAATAATGTCAAAAGATTGCATATCTAAGGGATCTCGAATTAATATGATCCAAAGCCGCAGTGGTTCAGGCGATAGAGCATTCACCTTCTAATAAATGAACCAGGTTCGAATCCCAACAAGGGCTGATAGATACGAATTCGGCACCCGGTTCGCACCGACCACTATGCTCATGCAAAATATCCTCAATGGTAGAAAGATCATGGGTTAGAGTCCCCTTGCCCTCAAGTTAACAGTGGGAGGTTTTCGTGGTTCTCCTCCCCTGTGGCGTTTTTGAATAATTTTAAATAAAGGATAAATAGAAGTATTACTTTTAACTAGTAACATTTTATTATTTAAACAATTTAAGAACTAACATAGGTATATTGAACAAAAATTTAACAATTAACAGGACTATTTTAGAATTAGAATATACAATTAATTCAACTTATTTATACATTAATTCTTACGTGCTTTTTAGAATAGATGGAGAGAGACTTACCAAGTTTAGTCATGGTTCGGCCTTTTGTCACTTAGGCTGATTGCTTTTGATTGCCTTGTGTGATTGCTCCTCAACCCTTTCCTTCGGCTGCTTTTATATCGTATTTTTTTGGGTGATAAAAAGTTACAAATCTGAGGAAAGGTCAAGTTCAAAAGTCATTGTTGTTTTCGAGTTTGTCCCGTGATGGGTCAATCACATGATGGGGGTGACATTGTAAGATTTAAACCTAATCGTTTATTTGAATTACTTTATCCGTATTTAACTTACTATTTGCCGATGGAGATTTCCTACAGTAGTTTTATTTAATCGAAGACTCTGAAATGTTCTAGAAATCTAATCTTAGCCCTTTCTCTTGATTTTAATTTTGAGTGACGATAAGCGTCACCCCATGTAACTCAAATGCGAATTAGTTCCATCAAAACGTCCTCCACAATGGATAATTTCTCCCAATACTTGATCCAGACATTCCCTTGTCCCTAGATTGGGTTCAAAAATACAAGGCAACGGAGTTGAACATTTAATGATCGCCTTTCATCTTCTCTCTGTTTCCTCTTTCAATCAAACAGGTTTTGATGGTTTCAGAAACACTTTCCTCTGTAGTGAATCGACAGATTTCGATAACGTTTTTCAGTTCTTCCTCTCTCAAACATTAATTTACTGCCCCTATTGTGCAAGGATGATCATTCGAGAACAAATTGTTATTTCCTTTTATCTTTCAGATAGGTGCTCCAGGAGTCAATAAACCAGCTATATGGATAGATTCCGGAATCCATGCTCGAGAATGGGTTGCTCCAGCCACTTCTCTCTACATCATTTCTCAATTGGTGAAGGGTTATGACACAGATCCAGAGATCAAAGACTTGGTAGACAGCTATGATTGGTACATCTTTCCTGTTATCAACGTGGACGGCTATAAATACACGTGGACATTTGTAAGTAATTCTATTTGAAAGTACCGAATGGCATCGATAGTAATTCTATTTTATTTCATGATTACTCGCCCGTTCTTCATCCGTAGTAAAACCAAATCTAAATTCATCGAACTCGTTATAGTGAACTGTCTGCGATAAGTTCATTATAACCGGTAGTTTACTACATCCGAATTCTTTGAATAATTATTTTTTTATAGAATTGATATTAGTATTCTTGGAAAAAGTTATTACGATAGTACAGTGTGAAAGAAAAATAAACAGACCACCCTGAATAACTTTTGATCTAATGATCGGATCTTCACGTTCTAGGACTCAATCTTAATGTTTCAAGGGTGATCTCAAGTATGTTGATTATTTAGTGCAAAAGATATTTTAAACTACGAAATCAGACACAAAATGTACTTTAGCTAATAAACATACCTTTTTTGTGACAGCTTCGGAATTCTGACCCCCGATATATAGGGGTAGCCGCAATCTTGGAAATATGGTTTCAATAATTTGGTTAGGAAAGAAGTTCAAAATCTGAACCACTCAATGTTAATTTTACTTTTTGTGTATATTGCCATATCTCGAGAACATTTTAGGCGTATGGAAAAATTTTTACACAATTGAAAAATTAGTTATTTCATCCAAAGACTATGCAAAAAATAACTTTTAGTAAATATTTATTCTTTTTTATCATTTTATTTATTAATAATCGAAAGATATTGAACAGTAAGATATACAAATATTTATATATTATTAAAGAACGTAACTTTACATATTTTGAGTGAAATCGATCGAATAGTTTCTGAAGAATCGAAATTTATAAGTTTGACTCTTGTAATGTTTGAGAGAATATAGTAATTTTAAGGATAAATCTCTAATTAGTACTAGAGCTGTTAGTGGTAAGATCATAAAATAAAATTGAAATTTCAGCTTATTTAAAAATAAAACAATTGTTATTAAAAGTTTAATATTCGTACTATGATAAAGTTAAAAAAGTAATGCATTAAGAAAAATGGTTGGGAAAAAGTGACCGCCGATGTAACAAAAGGTCATTGAAATGGCGCACATTTATGTACTAAGCTGGATGTTCCATTTCTTTATTTACTTTAGGCTAATTTATCGATTACTAGACAGCAAATTGGTTGTGGTCGGTCCGACCTAACACGCTAAAGCTGCTTAGAAAATATTCAGACAAGACAAAATAGTGCAGCTGATATAAATTGGATTGTCATTTTTTTTCTAGGCGAAACAAAATAACGGTTACATCTATTTTAAAAGTACTTTCAGTTTCCAGAAATTTTATATCAAGCACTATTCCTTTGCAAATAGGCTTAGAAAAATTTTGATTTTTTTTCCGCTCTCATGTTTGAATTTTATGAAACGCAGGAAGGATCCATAGCGGGCCGGGATAGCCTGGTCGGTAGGGCGCTGGACCCATGTCCGAGAGTTCGTGGGTTCGAACACCGCCGGTCGAAAACTCCCCGTGTAGTAAAGTGACTGATGCACGTTAAATCTGTCGAGTCGCAAAAGTCCTCCATGTTCCCATAACAAATCAATACCTCTGGGGGTACTGGATTGGAGATCGATCTTTCTCTGATTCAGATCAAAATTACGATCTGTGGATGAATGAATGGATGTATGAATGAGTCCGCCCTATAAACGGGTGCGACGTATGGTGTGACAGAAGTCGAATTCTTGTCCAGAGATGGCGCCACTGGAAAACAAGAACAATCGCACCCACTCTGCCTAAACAGGCATACGTCGAGAACAAGGATCCATAGTTTGACAATCAACCAAACAAACTACAAAAATCAATGCACAATTTTTCTAAAAAATCAACTAATCTTCTATTGATAATTAAGCGATGCCATGATTTTGTCTCGCACGTGAGGCATGAAATTAATCAATATATTTATCCAAAAAAAATGTGCAACTTTTTACCAATACATAAAATATCCAGTATCAAATGTGAGTGTATAAAAATAATTTTATTCATTTTCATAAAAAATTTCCCTGAGTAAAATTATAATTTTTTATTGTCTTTGCGACGTGGAATCACTAAATTGTTTTCTGAAATTATATCCTGCTATACAGGAATATTTCTTTAATTGCATCTAAATAGGAATTATAACTTAAATTATGTTTTAGAACCGAATGTGGAGAAAGAATAGGTCGCAATCAAGCCGTTTTGGACCAAGTATGTTCTGCCGAGGTGCCGATCCAAACCGAAATTTCGGTTCAGCATTTGGAGGTAAGATTTTATTCTGACTTAAAGCATCTTAGGAAAGCATCTTGTGCATTGAAAAATACATAGATATTTTTAGGAAAAACAAAATAAAATATATGAAAATAAATACCTCTTGTATTTTTTCAATATATTTTAGGCTCAAAAAAAATAATTAATTTTCTTGTAATAAGCAATATTTTTTAAAAAAAAACGTTTTATACCACCAAGGATTAAAAAAATATTTTCTGTGGAACAATTTTACAGTTTTTAAGAAAAATTTTATGTAAACATAAAAGTGGAGATTTTTCATTGCTCCGTAGATTCTTGAGAAATATTTACAGCTTTAAATGGAAGAAAAAAACACTAATTTGCAGAGAATCTCATTGAAAGAGTAGTAAACCATATATAAACACCTAAAACCATGTATAAATACCTAAGACCAAAAAATATTTGGTCTTAAGTGCAAAGTCGATATTCAACGGTTCACTGTCGATAGCTTAACCAGAAGCACGAGTTACGTGATTAAGTTTTGAGCTCAAATTAATTTTTAAACTGTTTAAATCAATATATTTTGTTTTATTTTAAAAACCAAAAATTTAATTAAGTCGAATAAATATTTCTTCAGAAGTATAAATGTCATTTTTTATTGCAATTTGAACTGCTATTTTTAAGAAATTATTGTTTTTTTTCACATTTTATTCCCCAGGATAAGCTAATTACTTTGATTTGCTTTATTCACAAACAAATTGCACCCTTGTACGCAACAATATTTGCCATGATGTTACACTATGTTCTACAGGGACAAGTTTTGATTGTTTTATTATATTTTATCACCCGTTGAATATTATAACTCGATTATTAAAACACCAATATCAAATAAATAAAAAAACAGTGCTCTATAGTACTAGATAAAGACAAGATTTCAAAAAAATTGTTAGATTTATGGTGAGCATCGATTTTCAAGACAATGTTTCAATTTAATAAATGTAAAATGTGGGGAGAGACTATTAGACAATACCAACCTTCATCAATCAAAAGGTACCTACCTCTAAATTGAATTAAGTTAGCATGTCTTACTAGGGAATTGATGTTTAATAATCGTAGTGGAAGTTGCACCACAATACTTCTCCACCAGAATTCTATCAGGGATAGAATTCGATGAACGGATACCACTAGTTGCTGTATTTGTAAAAGACCGGGACAGCTGGATTAAGGTCACCGGATTTTGAACTTTAGCCATGAGAGCTGTATTAAGTTCATGGTTGTCCGTGAAGACTCTCCTGTGTTGCTATTAGCAGTCGAGAGAGTGCAGGCTCCCGTTGGGTGTGAGTGAGACTGAGATACAACAGAGTGAGGAGGAGGATGACACAGTCCCAAATAGCAAGTCAACTATTCAATGTGGTCCATGCATCGAAGTAGTCCTGATCATATCACGTCCGCTGGTTACCAATTTAGGGAGAGTAAACATCGATGATGTCAACCCTCGTCTATGAAAAGGCATCCCATCATAGAATTGAGTTAACATGTGTTATATACTAGTGCAGGAGTGGCGAACCTTTATGCACCAACGTGCCATTTTTTCTAAAAAATTGTTTAATGAGGTCATAGACGTGCGGTCAAATAATTTTGACTTCGTGATTATTGGGAAAATAATAATACAAAACAGTGTCTACTCAAAACTCTTTATTCAGTATGAAAAAAAAATACATTTTGCATTGTCACAGTTATTCACCATCTATCCTTAAAAAAAAGAAAAAAACGCTACCGGAAGTCCTGAGGTCCTTTTCTGACGTCATAACATTACAGTGACTATTTCTTTTTTTGACTCTCCGGATTAGTTTGTATATACTCGGAATATTTAGTTTTTCTTAATTTAATTTTTGTGCCGTGTTTCTGTGAAAAAATGCGTTCTTCATATTTTAAATTATCATATAAAGATATAAAAAAAGTATTTTGGGAAATTATCCTAAATTGATATGTAATTGCATGATAGTTAAGATGCGATTTACGCAATTTGGTTTACACGAGCAGAAATTCTTCTACCTGAATCTTATACCGGAAGTTGAAACAACCTCTTCAAATACTGCCCCCTAGCGTGGAAAAAATGTAACGCGGTCGAGAATAAGGTGAATATGCGTAATTCAACTTAACGTAACATTAGTGTGACTTCTGTTATTGCAGATTAGATGACAAATAATTTATATTAGGTTGTAAGATGTTAGCTTAAGCAGGACTGTTAAGTTTTTTTCTTTGCTAGTCATTTTTTGTTAGCTTGTTTTTATGGTTATTAATTTTTTGGGGGCATTAATTGTTAATTCTTTTGTTAATAATTGTTTTTTTTTTGTTTGTTTTTCGTGAATTTTAATTTAATTTTTAATATGCTTCATTGTGAACTTTGTGATCGGTGGTGTGCCCAAAATATGGTGTCGCGTGTCATTGGTTCGACCTCCCTGTTGTGAATTTGAATTGTAATTTTGTAGTGGTAGACACACTACATCGAGTCTTTTGCTATCGCCTTTACGACACTTTTCGACATAAAGCCATCTTATTACTGACCATGGTGCAAGGAACCGTTAATTCCTCTCTAGATTCAGATATGAGTATAATTTTGAGTCTACATCCTGAAAAATGTGATTCGTATTAGATCTCGATATAGTTTCTGAGATTAAATATTTGTTTGCTACTCATAATGGGCAGAGACTATAACTTGCTTCACTTTCATTGCTAGTTTTTTTCTAGTGATGACAAAATTTTGGTTTTAATATCTGATTCACGGTTGAGTTTACTTGCTACAAAGTTTTTTCACTCACCACTAGATGTAAGCAATTTAAACATGCATACGAAAAGCCACTTTCCCATCCGTTTCATGGTGAGGCTTCTAAAGTGTTGGTGAAGTGGGAAATGAAACGAAATTATGCAAACTCAAAAGTATTTAAATCTGAAACAGTTTTAAACTTTACCACTAATTCTAACTAAAAATTTTTTTAACGGAATCGGAATAGCTGGCATGCATTGATGTGTATACTTTTTAGTGCGTTTTTGACTCAGATTCTAAAAATATACTTTAAAGGTGGCTATTGTGGAAAACCTTGAACAGCTTGACAGGGTTCATCGATATTTTCATCGATTAATTTTACCTACCAATCGGTATGCATGTGACGACCTATTGCTTATCATATTCCACGGTTAATGTTCGTTTAATTTTCCCTTATTTTTCAGGACCAGGAACTAGTGGAGACTCGTGTTCGGAGATATACAGGGGTGCATCTGCATTTTCAGAGGCTGAAAGCTCTGCCATTCGAGATGGTCTAAAAGCTTTAGGGAACAGAGTAAAAGCTTACTTTACTCTGCATGCTTACTCCCAATTGTGGATGACTCCATATGGGCACAGTCGAGCTAATCCACCTCATTACGATGAGCAGGTATGTATAAAGTCTGGAAGAGTATGGTTTAACGTTTTGTGTGCATAAATATTTGCACCATTTACTGTTATAATAAATACTTCGATAAATTTTAAAAATAAATAACACTAATAATAAACTTTATAATAATACAAGTAAGAAACTTTAAAGGTGTTGTAGATGAAGTGAAAGAACTTCCATATTTTGAAAATTAGCCGTTGAATAACGATAGGAAAACAGAAGAAGAATTTTTAAAATTAAGTCTAGGATACTAAAACCGAATATTTAGCCCCATTCCTGTTGGCATGCATTGATAATGATTTGATTATGAATTTATGAAACTCTCCCCCAAAAACAGAGTCGCTTTTGAAACTTTGAAAACCCTCGAAGTAGTAGGAACAAAGAAAATAACAGCTCCGTTTTTTATGCATAATCGCCAATTAGGTTTGTAATTAGCGTTAAAAATGCTATGACTACCCAAGTCAAAATTTTTGATGGTTTTCCATTGATGGACCAACATAATCTTGATGGTAACCATCAATAATTCCATTATGAACCCTTATATTTTCGATGGTAGCCAACATAAGAAACCATCACCCCAATGTAGGAATTCGGGCTGATGTATGATGGTCCAACATAAGAATAGCAACTTGTTTTGATCGTATATTCCTAAGAACCAACAAGAATGTACATTGAACCATCATGGAAATGTATAGTTGGAACCATCATAGCCCATCACGGATCATCATGGATTGTTGTCCATGATAATCACACTTATCTTGATGGTTAACCATCATAGTATTAATGTAGCATTTTCCATCATAGAACGATGGAAGCTTGTTGGCATGTCAAAAAACCTTGAACGCATAATAGAAAATTTTGAATGATGGCTACCATCAAATAATGTTGAACCATCATAAACCATCAAAATGCTTTGATGGGACCATCAAGAATTTGGACTTGGGTATAAATAAAAGTCTATTAATCAATATAGCTTAAAGTTTCAAGCTACACGTAAAAGTTTTGTTTTATTTATTCATTTATATGTGTATTAAGATATACTATATAATCTGTACAAAGAATCTATTGTAATAAAAAATGAAATTTCTACAAATAATTTCTCACAAAATGTTTTAAGGTATACTTTCTTCTCTATGTCATATAACTAAGAAATTTTAATTCGATCTTTTAGTTCTTTAGTCTTAGTTTAAAGCACGCCCCACATAGAAGAAGAAATAAGCCTTGAATTTAAAACTAAACCTTCTGAAGCATTATAGATTCTTTAAAAAATGCATATAAGTTTTATTGCAGTTACAGAAACATTAACAGCATACACAAAAAGAATTCATATTTCTTAAAAAAAAATACCATTTGATTTTATGTTAATTGGTAAAGATTTATTGCAGAGTTCTGTTTTTCAGATAAATTTCACTACAAAAAAATTAATCTTGCAATTGCATTTTTTTTTGTAGATGAATGCTTTAAAAATAGCCCATGCTGCAATCACAGGCACTCATGGTGAATATTACAAGTACGGACCGATTGCAACCACAATATGTAAGTACTAAAACACTTTATCAGAGGAATTTCTGAACAGTGCACAATCACTGAAAATAATCACCCTCAATAACTTTTGATCGAATGGTTGAATTTTCAAATATTAAGATTAAATATTCACGAATTAATATTATTAAATATATTAATGGTTCGGTAGAAATACCTTAAGTATGCTAAATGATAAGTACAGGTCATAAAGTATATAAATTCCGAGATCAGAGGAAGAAGTCCAATTTCGAAAAGAAAACTGAAACAGAAGTACTGTTTTTCGAAGGATTGCGTTTCTTAATCTTCAAGATATGGGGGTAAGGGCGCTACACAGAGAATATCACTTCAATAGCTATTGTAAATTACAAATTTTTCCCCATGCTAAACTGCAAATTTTCAATTGTTAAAATGTGATATTTGAATAAAGCTGATCGATTATTTTGGGAGATACATAAATTTCAAATTATAACTTTTCTATTAAAAAATTATTGCTTTGAGTAAGGTCCAACCATTTTCGTTCAAAAAGTGTATTGCCTCATGTAAAAGTATGGGATATTACTATGTCAAAATATGCAATCCTCATGACTCAATATTTTTGGATGTTGACCACTGCTTTCCTAGAGGGCCAAAAATACCTAAGGGTCAAAAATTATAGGCATAATCATTAAAAGAAAGTGCATTTTTTGTATGATTTCAGAGGAGAATCACTAGATCTCTTTATATAGTTTGTTCCTCGAATATTATGAACGATTAATAATAATAATGATTAATAATAATATTAATAACATTAATGACTAATATATATCGACGACGGGGAATAATACACTACTATGAAGAAAAAAAACTGAGCCCTTAAATAGTTCTACTGATTCTTTGGTAAAATTACCAACAGAATCAGAATATAATTCTCATCCGCTGTTTTTTTTTGTTTTTTTATTTTATTATTATTATTATTATACCCACCGTAAGTATATCTCTTTTCTATTATTTTATGGCCATGGAGGAGAGAGAAAATTATTATTTTAACCATTAAATTTATTAAAAATTACAATCTATACCATGATAAAAGCATGAAACAGGTGAGCTATTGAGAGCGCTGCCATAGTACAATGAATCTTCCATAAAAAAATAAGTGAAAAATTTGAGAGAGAAAATATATTATTTGCAATGTTTTTTTCTTTTTTCTCAATTTAACAAGGGGATAAAACTCCCTTCTTTGTACAAATCTTCATGGTTAACAACGTAGCACCTCTCTAACACCTCAAAAGAAATGTAACGGTAAAAATAATCCTTCCCTTCTTTAAAAAAAAATTTATGGTCATACACTTCTTGAAAAGTTCTGATCGTAAGGAAAAGGCGTCTCCAAAAACTGGCGAGTGGTATGGAAAAGCCTAAGTCTGATTCGGTCGTAAGAGTTCATTCAAGAGCAATGTCACCGATTTATAAACTAGTGCCGGAATTCAAACATAAATCGTGCCTGTCAGAAGTGAGCTTTAAGTCTGTGGTAAAGTGAATGAAACCTGCTCATTGACCGCCATCAAGTATCGAACCAAGGACCTATGGTACAGTAGGTGGATGCTTTAGCCACTCTGGAAAATTGTGTACAGAGCGCAAAGTAAGAAAGTGGCCACCCTGAATAACTTTTGGTCTAATGATCTGATTTTCATGCCCCAAGAATCAATCATAATGGTTCGAGGTCCTGACCTCAAATATGCTAATCAATTAGTGCAGACAATATTTTTCAGGCACAAAATCAGACACAAAAACTAACTTTCTCTGCATTAATCTATCGTTTTTTCACCGGATTCGGTTTTTTGGCACTCAAAATATAGGGTGTGATCGCAATCCTGAAAATATGGTCCCAATAGTTTGGTCAGGAGCGTGATCGAAAGTTACTTTTGGCGTATTTTGACATATTGCGAAAAAATTTTAAGCGAATAGGAAGACTTTTGCATATAATTACATAGTTCATTTATTAAAAGAGAATTTCATGCAAAAAATAATTTTAAATAAAAAATTTTCTTGGATATTTCAATTAAGAGTGACCAAAAAAATTTTGAATTGTAATGTATACAATATTTTTTCAGCCTTTTAAAGAATATAATTTTATATATAAAATTTGAAAATTTGAACGAAATAGATCGAATGGTTCAAAAGAAATCCCATTTAAATATACGACTTTTTAAAAAATTGATAACTCAGAAACTGTTCGTCCACTTTGCGCTAAAACTATTTTCAAGATCACGGCTACTTTTCATATTTTAAAGGTTGAGAAACTGAACCCCCGAGAAAACATTATGTTCATTATGTATTAAAACATTCAGAGAAAGTACGTTGTGTCAGATCTCATAACTTAAATATCGTCTTAACTAATTAATTAGCATATTTTTGGTTAGGTCTTCAAACCATTAAGATTGAGTCTTAATAGCTGAGTGGTTTTATTACATCAAACATTATTCAGGTTCTTCTTTTTATTAGGTTTTTTCTTCTTCTTCTTTTTTCTATACATCCCAACGAAGTCCGAATTACGAAGTTTTATCTGGCAATCGCCGTCATCGACACCCTAGTCGCCTTAAGTCAAACCAGCTTTCACTACTATTTATTCATCATCATAGTTGGTCAAACAGCCCAATGTGGGCCAATGAGTTCCTCTGAAGATTTCTCCGTAACGACTTTCGCTTTATCTTTGATCTCCAATTCTTTTCATCAATTGCAAGAAATTCAAACTACACCGAATCAGCCCATCTCAACCGCTGCCTTCCCCGCTTTCTTGTTCCAGTGGGTCTAAAAAGCAGTATACTTTTTATTGTATTGTCATCATTCATTCGAATCACGTGGACCATCCAATTCATTCTATTTATTTTCATGTATTTAATAATATCGAGTTGCTTATAGATCTTGTACAGTTCAGAGTTAAATCTCCTTCTCTAGTTATTGTTCTCATTTACACAACCAAGTATACTCTGCAAAATCTTTCTCTCAAATATTGTGATACAATTTTCCTCCAGCGTTGTCATTGTCCGAGCTTCAGAAGCGTAAGTCAAGACTGACCTGACAAGAGTTTTGTAGATTAAGAACTTTGTTTTTCTAGAAAGAAACCTAGATTTAATAAATCTTCTCAGCCCATAAACTGCCTATCTGTTACATTTATTTATTACTTTTAAATAAAATAATTGGTTTCTCAATTTTTGTTTCAATGATTACAGATCCGGCCGCGGGATCTTCCGTGGATTGGGCTTATGAAGGTGCAAATGTGAAATACAGTTTCGCTATAGAACTGAGGGACACCGGCAGACAAGGTTTTTTGCTTTCCAACACCCAAATCATACCTACTGCAGAAGAGAACTTTAATGGAATCAAAGCAGTGGCAAAAATGATTAAAAATGAAGTGTGAATTTTTATTCCCAGTTGTGTTATTTATTAATTTATTTATTAATTTGATATTGCTATTTATTTATTTTAATGCACTTTGAAAGATAAATAAATATTTTTTGTTCTTGTCAATTTTTTTATTGTGATCAATTCATGTAAAACTGTCCTTAAAATTTCTCCCCTGGTTGCTAAGGGATAAACCATCGCTTTGAAACTAAACCGTGGTAACTCAAAAAAGCAAGTTTTTCAGGAGAGCGATTTCTAACTTTTCAAGTTGGCGAATCGCGCCAATGCGATAAGGATTTATCTGCTCTCTAAATTAATTTTATGGAATTTATGAAGATTACACGTTGTTTTTCTAAAGGGATGATTTTTTTACACAAAATGACCCAAATATCTCATTTTTCGATTTTTTTTTTTTTTTTAAGTTACGGTTTAGTTTTAAAGCGACGAAACTTGTCTAAGAATGAAGTCACTTATATTCGAAGAAAAGTTTAATTTGCTAGTTTGAAATAATAATAATAATAATAAACACTCAAAATATGTCGAAAGATCATTACATAAATCCAATTTTTTTATTAACAGGATTCGTTCAGTCCTTGAAATAATAACAAAAAGGGGGTGAAATTATTTTTTTCTCATCAACGTTTGAAAAAAAATCTGTTTAACGAACTCGTTATTACCTTTACATATTAATTTCTACCTATGCATGCTAAAATATTAGTTTATCTGCTCTCTTGTAATTGAAATTGTAACTATAACAAAAAGATGTATTATCAATAAATAAATGAACAAGCAAACGGGGACTACCCTGAATAACTTTTGATCGGATATTCATAGGGGTTCTTGGACTCAATCTTAATAGTTTTGAGGAGGTGACCTCAAATATACTAATTAATTGATGGAAATGATATTTTAAGTTACGAAATAGACATAAAAACGTAGAATAAACATACCGTTTTCGACAAATTTGGATTTTTGGCTCCCAAAATATAGATAATATATAATATTATCTATATTTTATCAAAATAATATATAATATATAAATATATATAAGATTTATTATCAAAATAATATATAAGATTTATTATCAAAATATAGATAATAAATCTGGGAAAAGCGGTCCCCATTGGCTAAAAGAGCGATCTTGGTTTTGGACCAAAGTTTGGATCAAAGTTTGGACCCCTTAATGTTAATAATACTTTTTGTATATTAGTGGCCATATCTCGAGAACTTTTTAAGCCAATGGAAAAAATTTTGCACACAGTTATGAATTACGCTTATCCAATTTGTAATTCCATGCGAAAAAAAATACTTAATAATTTTTGTTTTCTATTATTTTTTTCATAATAAAGAAAAGAGTGTTGAATAGTAAGGTAAATAATTTTTTGCATCATTTTAAAGAATGTAATTTTACATGGCAAAATACAAAGTTTGAGCGAAATCGGTCGAATACTTTCTGAGAAATCGAATTTTAAATATACAACTTTTATAAAATTTGATTTCTCAGGAACTATTCGATCAATTTCGCACAAATTTTGTATTTCGCCATATAAAATTAAAATGTTTAAAATTATATAAGAATTGTATACCTTACAATTCTAAATTGCTTTAACTATTATTAAATAAAGTAATAAAAAATTACTAAAAGTTATTTTTTGCATGAAATTATCACTAATAAATGAATAAATAAATTTTACAATTGTGTGCAGAAATTTGCAATTTCATTAGAAAAGTTCCTGAGAAAAGCGAAGTACGCAAAAAGTATAATTAACATTAAAGGGGTACTAACTTTGGACCGCTTTCCTTTAACTATTATTAAAGAAAATAATAAATAATTATTAAAGGTTATTTTTTGCATGGAATTATCACTAATAAATGAATAAATAAATTTTACGATTGTGTGCAGAAATTTGCAATTTCATTAGAAAAGTTCCTGAGATATGGCGAAATACGCAAAAAGTATAATTAACATTAAAGGGTACTAACTTTGGACCGCTTTCCTGATCAAACAATTGGGACCATATTTCTCAAATTACACTACTCCCTATTTTGGGGGATCAGAAATCTGAAACCATCAAAATAAAAGGCATGTTTAATCAGAGAAATTACCATTTTGTGCCTGATTTCGTACTGTAAAATATCGTCAGCTCTAATTAATCAGCATACTTAAAATCATCCCCATGAAGATCGAGTCATAACATGAAGATACGAACATTAAATCAAAAGTTATTCAGGGTGGTCAGTTTATTTATTTATTAATTAATTTTATTTTATTTGTTTATATTTTTTTGAGTGTTGTGCAGTGCCATAATCATAAATTTACCCCTATTTCTTTTATTCTTTTATGGACTTAACGAACCCTAATTTCAAACCTCAAAACTTGAACTTGTACCTCAAAACTTGAGTTATCAATTCCATAAATGTGAAAATTAAATGAAAAAAATTACAGTTTAAAACACTACTTTAAACACAAAATAAAACAAATTCAGATTAAGATTATCAGAACTATTTTAATAAATGAATGTGCTGTTCTCTTTTATAGACGTAATCTTATTAAACTATTCGCGTAAGTTTTCAATTTCAGTTTTTTTTCTTCTTAAGAATTTAGAATTTCGTATAATAATGCATATTCAAAATGAAATGTTTATTTCAAATTAGAGTTTTGTCATGACGCTAAATTCATTATTGGGATACATAATTTTATAGAAACAAAATAAAGACCACGGTTTTATCTGATATGAAGTATCAACATTGTTTTGAAAACTGTTTGATAATTTAGGGGTGTTGTGTGCTTTTCTTAACAAAACTTTAGATTTTCTAACAAAAAAAAATTGTGCTCTGCATTATTCTAAGCTATTTGACACCAGGTATAGAATAATGTTTAAAAAAAACTATCAATCACTTGAAAAATTTGCTGTAGTTGTAGTTTATTTACGTCGCACTAGAGCTGCACAATGGGCTATTTTATTTTATTTTTTATTTTATAACCGTCGTTGAACAGCCGACCCAATTTAATGGGTTTACGACTACTATTGTTCAACTCCGTAGCCTTGTAATTTTGAACCAATCCAGAAGACAAGGAAACTCCTGGATCAGTACCCCCAGAGGTATTGATTTGTTATGGGAACATGGAGGACTTTGAGACTCGACAGATTTAACGTGCATCAGTCACCATTTACTACACGGGGAGTCTTCGGCCGGCGAGAATCGAACCCACGACCTCTTGGTCTTGGGCCCAGCGCCCTACCGACCAGGCTACCCCGGCCTACAATGGGCTATTAGCGACGGTCTGGGAAACATTCCTGAGGATGATCCGAAGACATGCCATCACAATTTTGATCCTCTGCAGAGGGGGCGGCATCCCCGCTTCGGTAGCCCAACGACCTGCACGCGAAGTCGAGCACTTTACGGTAGCACAGTTTAACGAGGACCAATACCGCACACCCTCGGTCCCTACGCAGACTGAGTGGTCACCCACCCGCACACTGACCACAGCCAGTGATGCTTGATTTCGGTGATCTGCTGGGAACCGTGTCTTAACGATCAGTCCACTGCGAAACACTGGAAAAAAAAGTAAGGCGAAAATACTGGACCGTACTCACTAACAACAACAGAAAATAACTCTCCTATTTTCTCATCATACACCAAATCATAGTCTTGAGGGAAGCGCTCCCACCCTCATGCCAGTCTGTAGATAAAGCATGGGTTCCTGGCCACTTCGGGATTCTCGGCAATGAAATCGCTGACGTGCTTGCAAAAGCAGCGCTCTCCAGACCGAGAATTTACGATAGATTTACCATAGAAGATACTTATCAATCAATTAAACGAATCCACCAACTATCCAGGCAATCAACCTTCAAGAGTAGCAAATACAGTTATTTTCTTCATCTGAGCCAAAATAAAAACGAACTTCTACCCCTCTCCAGCAGGCACCAAGACGTTATGTTCCCTAGAATCCGCACTAGATCCTATCCAACTAAAGCAAAGTTATTCCGTTTTGGACTTGCTCCGGACAACAAATGCAACTGCCGTTCCATCTCCGATATTGATCACACTATTCTAGAATGTCCTCTTTGATCAACAACGCACCACCCTAAAAATACAGCTAGGACTTGGGGCGTTATCGTTTTCATACCTTATGGACACAACGGACAAACGCAAGCTACAATATCTTATGCATTACCTAAAATCTATCCACATACTATAATCATCCACTTATCTCCGCTACCTTGGACATAAGTGAGCTATAAGTTGCAAATTACAAAAAGCTCCAAAACAGATCGTCGAAAATCATCATCATCTGCTCTGTCTATTAGACCGATCATCGGCAAAGTAAAATTCATTTTGCTATCCTGCCGATGAAATTTTTAACCAATCATAGAGCGTATCTGTCCACGTGACTTCCCGATTTTTTTTAAAAAATTTATTTAGCTCTTGTATATCATAGTTAAAGCAGTCACGATTTTTTTAGGATTTTGATTTTCTTCATATGAAAAATTAGAAAAAGCCATTCATGAATTTGAAGAAAAAAAACGACCTTCTGGAAAAGAAGAGCGAAAACGTTACAAAATGCTTCAAAGAAATTTTAAAAAATTTGAAATATACATGGTGGAAGAATTCATAAAAAAATTTACGAATTGCTGTCGCCAATTCAAGTAAGTAAATTTTGTATTGTTTAATTAATTTTTAGAATGTGTTATTTAAAATGCATTATTCAAAATGTGTTAACTGAGTAGCAACATCACTCCTGTTTTAACCATGTGAAAAGTAACTATAAGTACCTTGTAGAGAACATTTTTAAAATTAATTTAACACTCTTGTTTCATATGCTCTGACCTGCTATGTCTTTTATTTTATATTTGTGTTTGCAAGCTTATAAAGTTTAGTTTATTAATTTTTATATGCGTAGTTTGTTTAAAAAATTTTTATTTTCCGGAACTTTTACTGAAAATTGTCCAGCTGCTGTCTTCAGATAATCAATTTTTGGAGATAAAATGAATGAATGAGGATCCTGACCATGTCCTCTCAGAATCTTTGCTCCGTTCTCTGCCTAAAGAAAGCCTGCTGAGTATCAAGAGAAAGTTCAAAAATATATGAATCTCCAA